AGGGAGAAGGGCAAATGTGTGCAGGAAACCACCTGTGTGTTTAATGATGATGAAGCCAGTAAGAATGCATATCAGAAATATGTGCAACAACGTCGAAACTCACTAAGACAACTGTATGTCCAGAAAGAGGGAGAAAAAAAAAATGCACTGCAATGATCAGCTAGGGACTCGTCCAGGCCTCTTTCGTAAACCAGCCAGCACCACTGAAGAACAGCTGTGATACCGTTGTCCAAAAATCCCAAGGTGGTTCTTCAGTTGAAGTTTTCTTTTCGCTTTCATCATCCGGCGGCGCGGTTGCCACTGGTGCCGGTGTCACATCATTATTGGTGGAAATGCCTTCAGGCGCAGAAGCAGCGACGAAGTCATTGGCAGAAATAAAAATAAATGAGCTGCAAGATCCCTCGGAGTGATTCGTACAGGATGAGCCCCTTCTTGACGCCGAAGAGGGTTCTATTGGGCTTTCTTCCTCTTCCTCCTCGTCGAGCGGAATGAAGATGAGTTGGTCCACGTTATGGACCGCGGACAGTTTGTCCCCATGCGTCTCCGATACACAAGAGTAAAACGCCACCCGCTCCGGCTCGACCCGCCCACTCGACACGGCGGAGAATCGCATCCTACTTCTATTCGATACTCCGCGTGGCACAGCGGTACCTGCATCAACAGCAGAAGCAGTAGCCTCAGTGACGGTTCCGGTTTCTCTGCAGAGCCACGGATGATTCTTCACCACCTGCCATTCTGCGCGTCTCGCCGGGTCAGGCTGGAGCATGGACTGCAGCAAATGCAACAGCTCCTCTGCCCCTGGCTCGCAGAGGCCCCTGTCGTGTTGCAACGTAGTCTGAACGTTGGCCTGTGCCGCCATCAGCTCTTCAACGGACCGCACAGAACCAAACAAGTAGCGCCCGCGCACCATCGAATATAAGATGAGTCCCGCGGCCCACACCTCCGCCCTGCTGCGACAGTACGAAGCGGGGCCCTCAGCGTCACTGGTCGTGACAGCACGCGTCGAGAGCACAAACTGATGCAGACGCTCTGGTGACAAGAACGCCGGCGAGCCAACCGCGCTTGTCTTCCCGCTGCGCAGCGAACTCAAGGGAGTTCGGCGCGCAAAGCCAAAGTCGGACAGCTTAATCGAAGCCTCCGACACATCAGGCGACGTCAACAAGATGTTATCGGGCTTGAGGTCGCGGTGCCACAGCTTCATTGTCTCAAGAAATAGCAATGCATCCAGGAGTTGACTGAATAGCCGTCGGGCGACGGCGACGGGGATGGTGACTGATGCAGCCTCACTCGTCACATTGCAGCCGCTGCCCCTCCTCTTTTTCCTCCTTGCCCCGTTATTTGTGCTGTCATCGTCAGAGCCCTCACTCTCTGGTGGGGCGGTGGCGTGTCGAGCAGTGGTTGCGCCACGCAGGTAGTCCCCCAGCGATCCGCCGCGGCAGTACTCCAGCAGCAGGCCGCGCGGGATGCGATCTCCCTCCAAGTAGCCGAACACCGCGACGATGTGCGGGTGTGTGCCGTGTGATGTGATACGGCGCAGCTCCACCGCCTCCACAATGGCGGGGACCTCGCAGCCTGGTTTGGCGAGCTTCAGCACCGCGAGATTGTCCTCCTCGCTGGTTGGGGCTACCACGTCCTGTTGTTTCAGCTGCACAAGAAACACCTCCGCACACGCCCCCTCGGCGATCTTGCGCAGCACTGTGAAGTTCATTGCGTCTCCGTGAGGAAGAATATGGGGAGGATGGTGACAGCGACGCAAGCGTTCCTCCTGCGCTGCAGGCCTCTGCTCCCCCGTCTTGATCAAACGCCAGGGGTGGATGGGCGGCGGTCTTTCTCCGCAAAGAGACAAAGGAAAACAAAAACAAAAAACGGCGAATTGCACCACCAACACAACAGGCTGTGAGGAGAGAGAGAGAGAGGGAGGCTGTGTGATCCGTTTGGTTATTTTTTTTTGTGGTTTTCCAACAGCACTGGCTGGCAGGAAAAAGAAAGGAACAGAAACAGCACAACATCTTGAGCGGTGGCTGTGAAGAAACAAAGAAACTCCATGCAAACGAAAACAAAAAAGAATGAGCAAATAAAAAAAAAAAGCTTGCACCTATTATGCGTGTCACGCTGGGCAATAGCAAACCGTGCAGGGTTGAAGAATGGGACGGAAACAGCAAATGGAAGTTGCTTTCATTTTTTTTTTTCCTTTTTTGGTTTCTTCTCTCACATCAACCATCGTAGCATCCACAAAACGGCCATAGGGGTGAAGGGTGAGGGGAATGAACTAAATAGCCGTGAAGCTCTGGTAATACGCGTCTGCATGCCCGGCACGCGCGCACCCCACCACACGCCTTTCCCCTACCCGAGGCTCGCCTACTTCACGATGAATTGGCAGTAGAATCTCTCCACCTTGTAGAGCAGGGCCTCCACTGTGCGCCGGTCGGCCTCATCGGTGAGTGGGACAAGCGGCACTGTCAGCACCTGCACTGACCCGCTCTCCTCCATCACAGCCTCCGTCACCTCCCCTGTAGTGGCAGGAGCAGCAGCCGCAGCAAGGGGGACCGCGAACGCAGGTCGCTGCACGACCACCTGCTGCAGCAGCAGGCGCAGAAGCGACATGGCATACTCATACATGTGCTTCACCCGACATCGCCCGCGCTGCGACGGTGCTTCCTCCTCCTCCATGAAGCTGAACTGTTCATTATTGTTGTAGAGCAAGAGCTCCTCCGATGCGGCCGCGCGAATAAGAGAGACGGCACGCTGAAAGATAAGCATCTGCGCAGTGGGGTACGTCGACTGCGACGACCTCGGCGACGGCTGCGAGAAGGATTCACCTGATGCCTCCGTTCCCGCGATGCTCGTCGTTGAGAACCTCATCGCCGTAGCCCCAAGACGACGTCTCCCTGTGGATGCGGGCACATTCCGCTTCAGCCGCTGCGCCGTTTCCTGAATGTACAACTCGATCATCTGAATATCATCTGGGAGGCTGCCGTGTTGAGTGGCCCATACGCTCGGTGTCACACAACCCATCGAATCGGCCCACGCCGTGGCGTCAGCTGTCGGATTCTCCTCCATTAGTACTGCCTTCATCGCTACACGAAACATTTCCCATGCGTACGATAGGAGTATGAGGCCGCGACCGGGGTCAATCTCCTCCTCTATGGCATTGCACCGTAGCACGCAAATGTACTCGCGGAGGGCTTGATAAAACAGCTGTCGCCGCTGCGTGGCACTCCAGCTTTTCGTTTGGCCTTGATTAAGACCGAACTCCACGTCATCTTCAGCGGAGAGAAGCTGCTTATATCCGCCACCGACCGCTGATCCTGATCCTACTTCTGGCACTACAGGTGCTGATGCAGTCATGGATTCTGCGCTTACAAACGCTGCTGATATAGTTTTCGATCCCCCTGGCATGTCAGCAGCTGATGTTGGTTCCACGGTTTGCTCTTCAACAGCAGGGAGATCCATTGTTGTATTACACGTCTCCTTGAGCAAAAACCACGGATGGGCTTTCACCTGTTCAATGGTATAGCGGGTGGTCGCGTTCGCGTCCAGCATATGCCGCATCAAATCGTAGCACTCGTGCGAAAGGGGTCTCGTCTCCGCATTTTGCTGCTGAGAGCAATGTGCATTGGTCACATTCGTATTGGATTGTGCATCGCCAGTGTTTTCGGTCATCTCCAGTTCTTCAGCGCGGGTGATAGTGTTTAGCAGCTCCTCTGGTGTGCGCACAGAGGAGGTTGGGCACAAGTATGGGTGTCTAGCAAATAGTAGTTCATACATGATGACACCAGCCGCCCATACCTCCGCCTGAAAGTCGTAGAAGTCACGTGAGAGGCGCTCTGGAGACATGTATGCTACTGTCCCAACGGTGGACTGAAAAAGTCCACCAAAGTTGGTGCCGTCGAGCGCGTCATCGCCGTTGCCGCTGCAGCTCTTAGCCATACCCCAGTCGGCCACCTTCACAACTGCCTCGTCGATATTGGAGCTTGTCAGCAGGATGTTCGCCGGTTTTAGATCTCGGTGCATCACGCCGTTTTGCTTCAGAACGCACAGACATTCGACGAGCTGTCGCATAATGTGGCGTGCCTGCTGTTCAGAAAGCGGGTCGTGCCGCACGAGGAACTCCTTCAGGTCGCCGCCACGGCAGAGTTCCAAGACGTGCATCAACCAGACCTTACCGCCCCCCCGCTTGCGGAAAGTGTCCAGCAGGCGGAGAATGTTTGGGTGGTGAAGTCGCTGCAAGCGGCCAAGCTCCCGTGACTCGATCTGCAGTTTCGCCATCTTCGCCACCGGCCCATTCACCACCTTCACAGCGAGTTCGTAGTCCTCCGTCTTGTGGCGGCCACGGTAGACGGTGCCGAACCTCCCCTTCCCAATGATATCTTCCTTGCTCACTATATAGTCGCCGAGATCCCACGAGGACGCGGCATGAGCACCCTGCTGCGACTTCTTGGTCTGTTGCTGCTGCTGCTGTTGCTTCGTTTGCTCCTCTCTATTGAAAGGGATCTCTTCCCCATGGGGGATGTGTGGGCCCCCGCTTCCCTCTTCATCGCAGTGCATCTATTTCACTCTTCACTG